TGTGTGTGAGGTGCGTGTGTTTGGCTGTGTGGTATGTGTGGAGAGTGTGAAATTAAGGTACGGGAATGTAGGATGGATTGGAAAAGTGATACCTTGAGGCGTGTTCGTTTACGCAGGGTAAGGTCCGTCCTGAGGCGTGTACGTTTACGCGGGACGATGCCGTCCCTGACGAGGTAACGATGCCCGACCCGATGGGGTGTTGATGCCTGACGAGGTCAGAAGACCGTTGGCCTGATGCGTTTTACGCGGGTGCGGTAGAAGGAAAGTTGAGTGTAGGATTCCGTCCTGAGGTGTGTTCGTTTACACGGGACGATGCCGTCCCTGACGAGGTGACGATGCCCGGCCCGACGGGGTGACGATGCCTGACGAGGTCAGAAGACCGTTGGCCTGATGCGTTTTACGCGGGCGCGATAGTGGTGGAAAGGTTGAGGATGAGCTGGATTGGGCTTGATGTGCGAGATTTGTGAAAGTTGACGCGTAGTGTGAGTTCGTGTGCAAGTGTGATTTATATCGCGTAAGTAGTGCTCAATTATGGGGTGAAAACTGCTAGGCATGGTATGGGACGTGCCCTAGTGGGTTTTACCTTATAATCGAGGTATGTACGCGTCTGTGATGTATTACTGTGAGGTGCTGGATGTATTATGGTCTAACGTGCAGGAACGTGCATGATGGGTTCCAGGTAGGTTCGTGTGTGATTGTTAGATTGATTGATCGTTGTGTGAGATGCGTGTTCTATTTGGTGGTACGTGAGTGCCTACGTGGAGTTTGGGGTTGTACACTTATTGAGATTCGTCTCATAGTTGTATAATCCACAATTTCAGACCCCCAGCTGTAAACCCGGGAAGTTCGCCTCTTCTTTTTGGAAGTTCGAGGAACCGTTTTTGGTGCCCGGTGGAACTGCAGGTGAGTGTCCGGAGGCTCAAGCCCGAAGAATCAGGAGCAGAACGGAAGGCGATCCTTAGGTTTTTCCCTATGGTATTTTAGGAGTTGTTTAACTTGGGTTATCCGATAGTGAAGTTAAGATAACCAAACCCCTGAATTTTTGTTAATACGATGGCGGAGGATGTTCGTTGGTATTTATGTCTGTAATATGATGTTTGTATATTTGGTGATGTATGAAGATGTTGTTTGATTCTTATGGTGTTCTACCCCGTCGTCGTCATCTTTCTGTTCGGGGTTTTTATATTCGCTTCCGCATGTGGCTCTGATGTTTGGGTTGGGTCGGCGACGTTCCTGGGACGTCACAATATTTCGACCGGAGCAGGGGATGTCGCGAGCTCGATGGGGTTCGGGGCATGACATATACCATGTTAGAAATGATTATACCACGGTGTGCATAACTGCTGCAAGCACTAGCATATCAAAAGCAGCACACTGCATATCCATAGTTCCATAAAGACAGCTACTTTGGTAAGATAACATTAATTATGTACAAACAATCTCTCTTCTCAGCAAAATTAATCCATGAAGTGGATGATTAGTAATAAACTGGTAGAAATCTCAAAGAAACAGAATTGCAGCAGCCTCAGCCGAGTTCTCAGCCATTCCACTCATGACCAAGCAGCTATAGCTTAATAAAACCATAACCAGTTATATACAAACTTTTCCACCAACAAGCATAATTGAGGCAGATACAAATCCTATTGCCTTCCTAATATTGACTGAACTTAACATATTTTACTAATAATTGATAGAAGCTATTAATTTTGATGAAAATGAGCATGTCACAGATGAATATATGATACCATCCACTTAGACCATAGATTCTCACAATGAGCTGGACCCCAGTAAACACTATGCTGTAATTTGTCGTTGACATTTGAAATAGTTTCAATCATTGATGACAACATTAGCAGCGAGGTGAAAATTTTTTGTCCTACACGAGAATGCAATTGAGCACATCAATCAGATTCAAGTCCTAAAGTATACAAATCTATTGAATGAGTAGATTCATTCTGTATGATATGTGATTAAAGTAATTCACCGCTGATTTCACCGATTAAATATGAGTCAATCAATTTCCTTGATTTATAACATAACTCATGCATCAAACAATGTAGTGTCAAAAACATTTCTTGGTTTTGATGTAGGACGATCTGTCCCACAATAAAGAATAAATATTTATGCATCACACAAAACTGCCTAAGCATCACACCTAGGATTTCTTAAGCATCCCACCAAAGAGGAATTGCATCACACAATCCGCAAAGCAAACACTTGCCAAGTTCTATAAATTATCAACTTCGAAAAGTAAAAATTACAACTATATTTGTAGACTCTCTAAAAGTTCTACTCATAGTTGAAATAGGAAATCTCTAAACAAGAAACATAATTGCAGTATACATAAGATCCTACTACTCAAACTTAAAAAAAAGAAGGAAACTTTGTAAAATCCTAATAACACTCAAATCCTAGTGGATAATTTTAGTGATGAAACTTCAAGACGAATCCTGATCCTTGTTTGAGTTTCAAAGTCAATCTTCACCAAAACATTGGTAGTCATCTTGCATGATTTTGTCGGCTGCATCAGGCTTAGTGGAACTTATTTGACAAAAGAAAAATAATTTGTAGCAATATCTCATGTCAGTAACATTAGTCGAATTTGAAGTATCTTTATCATTAGTTATTACCTAACAATAAAAATAACACCATACTTTACAATTAATTTACATCTGTCATGGAATGCCAATCTCAAACAATATATCAAATTTTATGATTCCACTGGATGAAATTCAAGATCCACAATCCATAGATTTAATTTTTTGATTCATGACTCAAATTTCCATGTGACAACTAAGGGTGATCCTAAGTGGTTAACATGTGATGTCAAAATTGTGGCTACCTACTTAACAGTTAACACAATTAATAAACGAATATTGTTCCGGGTTCAAAGTTCAAACTGCGAAACACAAATTGACTCTTGTAATCTATCTAAGTAAACAATAGTGCCAACTTGATTAACAACCTGACCTATCATGACCTGTTTATATTTAGTTCAGTAAGTTCTCTAATAATAAATCATACATGAATTTTGTTCCATAGTGGTTACAAATTACAATTTGATCAGACCATATAAATATAACATTTCATGTAAACCTAGGATTTTGTAAGCTTACGGCTAGTTTCTTTTCAAACTTATTTGACATTGATGAAGATATGCATATTGTACATATGCCGTGTTGGTCATGTTAGGATTGGAATGACCCATTCAATTCAATCTAACTAGTTAAATGGGTATTCATCTCTTGTAATTTGTTGACCTATTAAACAAATGGGTCATTTCGAATAGAGTTTTCTAATAATTTTTTTTGTTGAGCATATCCTGCTCAGATTGACCTATCTAGCAATCCATTGTTAACTTGAAATTGACAGACATGACCAATAAAAATGGATTGCCATCTCTATTAGCAGCTGAAAGTTCGCTGAGCAAGTTTTCTATTTGCACTGCATCATGCAGATTTCGAACAATTCAGAATCTTTCCCAAGAGAGATTAGAGAAAAACAAGTACTGATGATAAAGAACTTCTGCAGGAGGAATTTCTAGTTGAGAAGTAATGAGGATAACATTCAAGTAACAACATAGAAAACTTCCTTTGACATCATACAGTAAAACTGTACCGTCTTCAAGCCCCAAGACAACAACCTTGCCATCAGGATGCCAGCAGGATCATGTTATACATTTACCTGGAGTGGAGTAGAATGATCAAGAAGAGCCAGTACTGAGGAGACGCATTGAAATGTGCAAAGAAAGTGAGTTCATTATAAACAAGAAAGAACAGAAAGAGAGAGATAATGAAAATTTTTTCCCAATAAAATTAACAGGAGAAGAGAAAAGATAGAGCACACACATTAACCGACAAAATGTTAATCAAAATTTGGGAAATGAGGCAAAACATCATAAGTGTACAAAGTAACTGAGAGGATATGGGATTTCTTTGGGCTAGTAGGTCATCTAAAGCGAGGGAAATTAGATCTTGTTGGCAGGCTCCAATCCAATATCTGAATCAAAAAACAAATCTTGTCGTTCAACTATGGAACCTCAAGGTGGAGTGGATGCATGAAAGCTTACTTCAGGCGAGGATTACAAGTGTACTAGTATTTACAACTTAGGATCGTAACAGAAACCATTCAAAATTTGCTCAAGTGCTATAGTGCACTCAAAACGTTCTTCATATCTAGAAGACAATATGACGAATGAAGCATTCAGATGTTTTTGGAGAAGAAATCTCCTCTCTAAATTTTTCCAGTGAGAAACGACAGCAAGAACTAGCAAGGCTAGGCATCTAATCCTAAGCTCTTAGCCTCTTACTAATTTGAATTACCAAAAGATTAAGTCATATAGGAACTTAACATACTCGGATGCAGCTCCCCTTACCCTCCTAGTCTCTTTGCATTCTCCAATTCCTTCCTCTGTCCCTCCTGACCAGATTGTCATACAAGTACGCAGCATAGCTCGAGATATATCCTATTCAAAAGTTGAACTCCCACCAGCCAACTTGATTAATCACAATGATGTGACGAAATGCCCTACTGTAATGAGAAAAAGATAAATTAAACTTCAAGCAATACAAAACATGAGAGGCTTTCCGCCTATAGTCTATATTTTAGTAAAATTACATCGTGAGAGTTGCCATCAGAAATCTAAGAAGATCTTTTTAGATGCCTGATGACATTTATATGGTCTTCTGCAGGGGCTAAACCTGCCAACTCCAAGTGGGCATCAAGCATTTCTGCATCTGACATAGCTGCTTAGCTAGTCTATCTAGCATAAATGGCATCCCGTCCGATTCATGTTAATTATTTTCATGGACACTTTAACTGGTGTACAAAGAAGGGCAACAAGATGGCCGTACAGGAGTATGGTACACTTACGGTCGGTGTTGATGACTGTCGGCTAGGTTATGGAAAAAATCTCCCAAGGCAACAACCTGGTTGAGAAGTTGATGAGAATCTATCATGCCTGGAAATAAAATCCCTCAATTCAACTAATACCAGCTTGGAATTCTTTTACTTGCAACTAAGTCGTCTCTAGATCTCCACTCGCATCGCCATCATTCGCTCTTCGTTTCTGTGTAAAAAGACCAACTCCTCAGTTCGACGTTCACCTTCTCATTTAGACTTTCAAGCACTTTATACCTCTGTATTCGTTCAATTCTCTCCATCGAACGCAATTCGTGCTAGATCGGCAATCACAGTTGGTTCCTATAAGGAAATAGGAAGCGGACCACATTTAGGAAAAGCGAAAGAAGTAGAACGAGATAAGGGCAATGACTCACAGAGCACACCCCAAGCCATCGTTGAAGAAACGAACACACTGAACAAAGAGAAGAGAGAAATTTTCTCGAATCGTAGCAATTACCGGGAGAGGTTGTCCACAGCCTCTTGCCAATCGAAGCGACGAAGCACCACCCACCTTCGAGTCCTCCGTGTGACCATGGCCAGCAAATCCTTCTCCGGATTCCACTCACGCCATATTCAATTAACGCCCATCGGAAGAAATCGAGCAACAGCCTCACCAAACCGAATCGGAAGACAATCGAATCGACCTTGAAGCTGAAACGGAAGCACGCGCCGGCGACCCTTCTTCGTCGGTCTCCCATTGCTAGAAAGCTCCGCCTGCTGGAGCAAACCGTGAGGGAGTATATAGAAGCGTGCGAGGGAAATGGGCCGGGCCGGACTTTATAACTATATAGCCTTGTCAAACAACGCACGAAGTGCCCCCCCTTCGGGCCCATGTAGGCTGCAAGAAGCGGTTGATTAATTATTGAAATGTAATTTGGAAAAAAGCAATGTGATGTCTTGTCAATCATGTCATCCTCATTCACTTTGAATAAGGAAAGCAGGTTAAGGAGTTGTTCAAATTGGCAATCTTACAAGAAACATGTTCACGACCTGCTTAGAGACTACCTATATAAAAATTACTGATAACGTATGGAGTCGATGTTTAAGCATTCTAATGTCAATGCCATTAAACTTATCCAAAAGCTCCTTTAAGAAAGATTTTCCTATATTCAGTACATACTCACCTATATTTTTATTTGCGTATTGTGGTTATAAATTAGATTTTCAAAGTTGACTCAAGATACATAACGTTTTTTTGTACATCTCAATGTACGTAGGATATTATGATGGCCGCGATGGACAATCCATCAGACGCAAGTGGAATGGGCAACGGCGGAGATGATAAATCGGCCCAATCTCCTTACGAAAGCTGAAAAAGAAATAGATAGAGTCGTGGAAAAGGAGAAGTTAGTCCAAGAAGAGTTTGATATCCTCCGGCTCAACTACATTAAGGTATGTGCCAGGGAGGCCTTCAGGCTCCACCCGATCGCGCCCTTCGACGTCGCGCACATCACCCTGTCAGATGTCGTCGTGGCTGGCAACTGCATCCTCGGGGGCAATAACATCCTCGCGAGCCGGATGGGTCTTGGCTGAAACCCTAAAGTGTGAAGATGAAACACGCATGAAATGAGGGTTCCACATATTTTACCAAGTTCACTCTCCCTCCTTCCCTCCTTTTTTTTTCAAATTAGTATTTATTTTTTGCTAACGTGGCATGTGAATTAGCACCACCTGGCAAATTTTTGCCATGTAAGCATTGTGACGTCAGCAAACTGATAGAGTGCTTCCGAACATGCAAATTACATGACTCGATTGGGAGTAAGAAAATGTTCAAGAACCTAACTTTTATATTTAGCAAGAGCTAGTTATTTGAAAAATGTACTTAATCATTTGTTCTCTATCATCCCATCTTGGGGGTCTCGTGTAACGGCCTGAATTTCGACGTAATTCCGGGATCAATAATATTGATATTATTTCGCATTTCATTTTAGTAAGTCTCGCCCAGAACTGATCATTCTCGGGATACTAACCTTTAGGGAATGGCTACCTAGGGAAATGTACGTGGACCTAAGAACTCGATCATGAGTCGACCTTCGGTGACGATCGAGGTCGCCATGACTTGAATAACTCTAGGTTGATACGCTTAATCCCTAAACAGCCGCCCGTTAGTGAGAGACCCTAAAATTGAGATTGGGCGATTTTGATCGCGAAATTGGATCCGGACTTGGATGTTGATTTTCGAGGTCGTGCACAACTAATTTTACGAGGATGACGTCATTTTAGTGTGGCCAATGATGTTTGGGGTAAGTACGGTCGAAAAATGGAATTTCGACCAGGAACTCAGAAATTATAGTTTTGCCCCTGTGGGCACCGAGGCTGAATTCGGAGGCCGTTTGAGGTTATTTTTCACGGCCAAGGTCATTTTGGGGTGGCCACGCACATTTAGAGTGGTTTTGGCCAAAAATTGGAATTTCGACAAAAATTGGAAAATAATATTATTTTATTCCCGGAACTTTGCAGTCAATTTTCGAGGGCTTGCGCGATGAATTTTCGTGATTCCAATGCCATATTATGTTGGCCACACTCATTTGGAGTTGATTTAGCCAAAAATTGGAATTTCGCCTCGGGACCGGAAAATTACGATTTTGCCCCTAGGCCTATTTTTGGGTATTCCGAATTTTGGGGATTTTGGAAATTGAATTTGGGGATTAAGTGTGGATAAATATCAGCCCCAAAATATTGGACAAAAATGCCCTTAGATATTTTGGTTTGGAAGAATGTGGACCAAGTGTTATAGGGGCAAAATTGGAATTAAGAAAAAAAAATTGGTCAAACCTTGGACCAAATATTTAATTGTTTCTCTCCCCTCTCTCTCTCCCCATTCGGCCATTTCCCCTTCTCCTCCCCCTCCCTCACCGAAATCCCCTTCTCTCCTTTCTCCCTCACCAAACCATCTTCCCCTCTCTCGGCCGCGTGGACGCCGATCACCGCCGGGAGACCGTCGCCGCCGCCGTGTGCCGCCGTGAGATGCTGGCCAGCCGTTCCCCCTTCTCGCTCTAGCCGAGTTAGTCTAGAGTTCGGGTAAGTCGCGATCTAATCCCTATTTAGGACGTCGGGTATTTTCGGACTCGTTCGGGTATGGTTTAGAGGATTTAGAGGTTAATTAAGGCGTTGATAATGATTATTGGTGGTTGATCATGGTTATTGGTGGCTGAGTATGGCTGGTAGTGGTTGTTGCGGGTTGGATTAGACGTCGGGAAATGAGTTTTGGTGGTTGGAATTCGGTAGAAATCGGTTCGGGGTGAATCGCGGATTCACGGTTACTGTACCCGCCCGGTTTGCTATTTTTGTAGAGAATTTTGTGGGCCGAATTTGAAGAAGGTTTCTCATGAAAGTTGTTGCCAACATCTTGAAGTATAACATATTTTAATTTGTGAATTTTTGGAAATCATTTGATGCCATTCGGAAGTCCATCTTTGGACCGAAATTAAACTGCCCGATTTACTGTTCACCCGACCTTCGGGTCTGTTCGAATTTTTATAAATTTTTTCAGGCCTATTTTCAAAATACTTCCTTCACAAAAGTTGTTGGGGACATTCGTGGTTATAACATATAAAAATTTCAAAACTTTTCAAGGTGATTTGGGTGTTGAAATAAATATATTTTGAGGACAAAATGGTCTGTTGGAGCGAGTTGATTTTCGTCTGACTTCAAGTGACCAAAATAGGTGTTTCTAGTTGGAACTAAGTTTCGAGTTCTCCACAGAAAATGTTCAGCAAGATGTTTTACGCAACATGTCCAAATTTTAGAATTTTTGGAGTTCTTTTACTATTTATTTTGATGGGATTTCGGTCACTGTTTAGGGTTCGGTTTAGGGGTTTATGTGGCTGTTTTGGGGGCTGAGATGAAGGCTGGTATTTGGTTGTCGTGGGCTGATTTGGGGACTGATTTGGCGAAGAAATTGGTGAGGATTTGTAGGCTCGATGATGGCTGTGATGTGTGGAGCGATCGCAGTTAATTTGTATAATTGATTGGAATTATTGTGACTGTTTGGAGACTGAATTAGAGGCTGGATATTTGTTGGTTACGGACTGATTTGGCAATGAAAAATTGAGGTTTAGTAGATTTGGATAGGGCAGTGATATTGTGGATCAATCGGGATTAGGTGTTGGGCTGAATATGGCGTGGCTGTGTGCCGTGTGCTGTGTGTATGTGGCCGTGAGGTGTGGCGGTGTGGTAGTGTGAATGCGCATTGAATTCGCTTGTTAAATGTGTATGGCCGTGTGTTGTATTCGTATGACAAGAACGTGTGTTTGTGAAGTGTACATGAGATGTGAATTGGTGCGTGGCTATGAATGCGTGTGAGGTGTGTATGTTTGGTCGTGCGACTGTTGACCGTGTGTAAGTGCGGTTTGAGTGGAACGAGGATACGGAAATGTGGAATTGGTTTGGAAGGATCCGTCCTGAGGCGTGTACGTTTACGCGGGACGATGCCGTCCCTGACGAGGTGACGATGCCCGGCCCGACGGGGTGATGATGCCTGACGTGGTCAGAAGACCGTTAGCCTGATGCGTTTTACGCGGGCGCGGTAGAAGGAAAGTGTGTGTAGGATTCCGTCCTGAGGCGTGTTCGTTTACGCGGGACGATGCCGTCCCTGACGAGGTGACGATGCCCGGCTTGACGGGGTGTCGATGCCTGACGAGGTCAGAAGACCGTTGGCCTGATGCGTTTTACGAGGGCGCGGTAGTGGTGGAAAGAGTTGAGAACGAGCGGGATTTGGCTTGACAAGTGAGGATTGTGAAAGTGATGCATGGTGTGAGTTAGTGTGCGAGTGTGTTTGTATCGTGTGATGCAGTACGCGATTATGGGGTAAAATCTGCTAGGCATGGTATAGGACGTGCCCGAGTAGGTTTTGCTTTATAATCGAGGCACGCGCGCGGCTGTGATGTATTGCTGTGGTATGATTAGCGCGTGTATTGATATGTGGAAAGTGTGTGATGACATGTGTGCAAGAATTGTATGTTGGGATTGTGGGCTAACGTGCATGGTGCGTATGCAGAGAGTCGAGGTATGTGTGAATGTTTGATTGTTGGTTGTGTGGTTGTTTGGTTGCGCGTTTGGACGTGTCTGGAATTACGTGATAGCCTAGGTGGGGCTTAGGTTGTGACTTATTGAGATGTGATCTCATGATTGTTTCAACCAAACCATTTCAGAGCTCCCGCCTGAATGTCGAGATTGAGGTCGACTCGGAGTCGTCGGGTGAGCAGATAGCTGCGGAGGATTTAGGTGGTGATGCCGAGGACAGTGAGTCAGAGTGGACGCCTTCGAGAGGGCGTAGGGGATAGTTCTGGGAGGAGGGTGCGCCCCATTTTTGGATAGTGCTGACCTAGAGAGCTAATCTTGATATTTTGGTGGTTTGGAGTTTATAGTTCGGTGTGCTTATAAATTATTTTGTGGTTTGTATTGGCGGATGATGTAAATATTTGGAAGTGTAATATATGCTTGGTGGTTTGACGATTTATTCATTCCCGGTGTTCTCCAATTTTAATGTCCGGGATTTTTGACTGCTTCTGCCGCGATTTAACTTTGATGGATCGTTGGGTCGGCGACGTTATTCCTGGGACGTCGCACTCTTCCGATCGAGGAGAGGGATGTCGCGGGCTCGATGGGGTTCGAGGTGTGACATCTCGTCTTTCTTCCCCTTGCAGATCTATCACAACAAGACACAACTTTAATAGTTGTGGAAAACCAGCCTTGTTCACGGAAGTCCCTTCTAACATCAATTTTGCAGGAAAATTGCTCAATTAGTCCCAAACTTATTGTACGGATGTCATTTAGTCCCTATACTTTTTATTTTTGCCGATTTAGTCATAAATCATTGTGCATAATTCCAATGTAATCCTTGTAGCCATTTTTCGTCGAAAATCACCGACGTGGCAGTGTGCCACGTAGGACTGAGTCCCCATATCAGCGATTTTTAGAGAAAATTGGCCGAAAGGATCCTTAAAAGATGATTGGAGGTAGTATTTGTAATTTGGCATTCGCTTTGAGTCAAAACCCTAATTTTCCCACTCTCGCCGCTCATCCCTCTTAGCTCTCGTTTAGTCTCACACCTTTTACTTCTCACTCTTAGTCTCACGCGGTCACGCGGGGCCGCCTCCCTCAATCCCTCTTGCCTCGATGCCTCATTCTCGCCTCCCTCTCGCTTGACCCCACCTCCAGTCTTAACTATCGCCTCCTTCTCTCGCTCTCGTCTCTTAGTTTGCCTCTCTCAGCTCACGGATACTCTCGCCTAATGTCAATGTCCCTCAACTAGGTTGCAATACCCTCTGTAAGACACGAACCAATTTTGAGCAGAACAATCAGTTCGCCTTCCAAAATCCTCACGTCTCACAAAAAAGTTCAACTCAGCTTCAATCAAGGATGTGGCTTCAATTACCAGTTGCCTCATCATACCAAACGACCCTCTCAAATGCAACAACAGCAAAAGTGGACTCGAAATCTTCAATGGGAAACCCTCATCGAGTGCTTACCAAAAGCAGCGATCGACCACAATTTCCCTCAAACTTCTCGAACATAGCTTGACGTTTCGCTTCAAATCGCGGCATTCCTCCAACCTAATGCACTCAAGAACAGGACCACCCTTCAAAATTTCGTGCATCGCCTTATCTGTGATCTCCGAGCCGCAAATAGACAGGGGCTTGAGATTACTCCAAGTGACACTCCTACTAAATGGGAAGCTAAAGAGCCTCAAATGCAGGTTCACCAACGAATCCAGGGGACTGAGCTCAGGCGCAAAATAGTCGAGAAAATCGATGTCGATGTGGAACTTCCTCACCTTAGGCGATGCGTAGAGGATCAAGAGGCTGTCCACAGACGGGGCATCATGCCAGGGGAAGAAGAAGACGAGGTCCGGGGCGGTGTCCAGACGGATCGCCGCCGCTTCGACAAGACGCAAGTTGAGACAGTGTGTGCGACGTTGAGGAAGGAGAAGATGTGGTGGATCACCGAGTCAGGCAAGGTGCTGATGTGATCAACATCGTCGCCTAGGGTTGCACACCGACGAGAGAAGGGCGATGAGGTCTGCAATCGCTTCTTCGCCATGTGGGTTCGACGATTGAACGGGAAGGAGAGCCTCCAGTTTTAGGATTCTTTTCGCTCGACTGGAGTTTTGGCTTCCGGTGGTGCGACACGTGTCGCTCGGTGGAGGGACGACCATTTTCCCGCGCCTTTTAAATGCAGAGCGGCGGCTATGCAGTGGATCGCGAGCTCGAATGTATGTACAGATTTTTTTGGACTTCTAATCCATCTATGAGGCTATGATGACGGGGCTTGCTTATCTTGGAATGCTTTGTAGACCTGATCAATGGATGATTCGAGCCGGATCTCGCGCTTGAAAATCTTTATCCTAGCTCATCCGAAAATATATATATCCATAACTAACTTCTCTAAGATAATTCTTCAGCGAAAACCATATTCATGAGCAAGTATGACATCTCATGAGCTTAAAGATTAAAATAAGTCAAAGACGTGTTAGGAGAAGTCATGGTGGAGCTACGTGGAGAGGGCGCCCTTGCAAAAGTTGGAAGGTTCGGATTTTAAGGAGGCGAATTTTCTTAATTCGGGTGGAAGGTGTTCATAATATTTTGAAAGTGGACAAATATCCAACCAAAAAAAAAGAAGTGGATAAATCAAAATTTTAAATCTTCTAATGGTTGCCGCCCATAGAGAGAACTATCTACACACAGGCATACACGCTCACAGAACACTTTCCCCAACCGATGGTTGTATAGGCTCTCTCAATCTCCTAAAACACAGCAGAAACTCAAAGAGTCTAAAACAAAAGCAGAAAGTCTATACAGCAGGTTAACCCAGAAAGACACCAAATTCTCCTTTAGGTGCTTCAACCGCAGTATAGGTAGAAGGAGCACTCAGGGCAAACAACAAAAGCTACGGATAATTGTGCTGCATCGAAGTTGGAGGTGTCATCTCTGAAGTGACCAATAGAAAGTGAAATCTAGAACTCTGACAAGAATTAACTTCACCTAGTATAGCTATTTACTTAACCAGCCCATTACTTTCAGGCAAAACTGATTTCTGCCATTAGATCCATTTATTAAGAAAGACTGCTGTATGGAAGCAAGAAAGGAAAGAAGTACTCGTTGACTGAATCTGATAGACTATACTGCTATATATTTGATCTGAACATACAGGAAATTTGTAATAAATCGAAAAGAAACTTTATTGCAGCAGCATCAACCAAGTTCTGAGCAATTGTACCCATGACCAAACAGCTATAGCTTAATGACATTACTGGTTATCTACGAACTTTTCCCCCACAAGCATAATTGAGGCACATACAAATTCTCTCATTTAGGAGTCACCCAAATTATTACCTTCCTAATTTGACTGAACTGGACATATGTAACTTTGAAAGAAACTATTAATTTGATGAAAATGAGCATGTCATGGATGACTGCTTCTATATGACACCATCCACTTAGACCGTAGATCCTCACAATTAGGTCAACACCAGTAAACACTACTTTAATTCGTCATTGACATTCGAAACATTTTAGATCATCGATGACAACATCTGCAACAAGGTGACAATTATTTGTCCTACATGAGAATGCAATTGAGCACATCAATCAGATTCAAGTCTGACGACATTGAGATGGTATTCTGCAGGGGGTATTAAACCAGAAATAATATTACATCGTGAGGGTCACCAACAGAGATCGAAGGAAAACTATATAGATGCCTGACGACATTGTGATGGTATTCTGCAGGGGTTAAACCAGCCAACTCCATGTGGGCAGCAAGCATTTCTGCATCTGACATAGCTAGTCTATCCATCATAAATGACATCCCCTCCGATTTGAGTTCTATATCTTCATGGACACTTTAACTGGTGTACCAAAACAAGCAACAAGATGGCAATACAGGAGTAGGGTACACTTGCGGTTGGTCCAGATGACTGCCAGTAAGGTTATGGAAATCTCCTAAGGCACCAATCTCGTCTAGAAGTTGATAGGAATCTGTCATGCCTGTAAATAAACATCCCTTCATTCAACTAATATCAGCTTGGGATTGGTTACTTGCAACTATGTCATATCCAAATTTTCACTCCCATTTCAATATCATTCACTCTTCATTTGTGTGTAAAACACCAACTTCTTAGTTCGACGTCGTGTTCTCAATTAGACTTTCAAGCACTTTACCTCAATTATTCACCAACTCTCCATCAAACGCAATTTGAGCTACATTGGCAATTGAAGTGGTTTATTTGGGGAAAAGGAGCGTAACACATTTAGGAAAAGCAAAAGGAGATAAGTACAATGACATAAAGGGGCACACCAAGCCATCGCAGAAGACACGCACAAATTACCAGGAGAGATGGTCCACAGCCTCTTGCCAATCGAAGCAACGAAGCAACCCCACCTTCCTTGGAGTCCTCCGTGCGACCATGGCCAGCAAATCCTTCTCCGGATTCCACTCACGACATCTTCACCCGCCCGCCAACCGGAAGAAATCGAGCAACAGCCTCACCAAAACTGAATCGGAAGACAATTGAATCGACCTTGAAGCTTAAACGGAAGCACGCGCCAGCGACCCTTCTTCGTCGGTCTCCCATTGCTAGAAAGCTCGGCACAGAAGCGTCCGGAGGAAATGGGCCGGGCCGGACTTCATAACTGCTGACAGCTGCTGGCGCCAGATCTGGCTCGACGGCAACCCAAGGGTTTGATTTCTTTTTAATAAAAAAAAAAGAAAATTTGCAACTGAAGCCCTTTGCAACATTTTATTACCAAACACTACTTAACCCAAAATTGCTTTACAAAGATTTTTTACTAAACGCAATTTGCATTTCCCCAAAACCCTTTAGACCAAAGGCCTTTGTATTTCCAAAGGGCTTTCAAAATGTTGAATCAAATGCACCCTGAGAGCTGACAAAGGAAGACTCGTCAAACAGCTGCATCCTAATCTCGTGTCTTCGGCCGAACCATGCCTTAGGGGAGAGAGAGAGAGAGAGAGAGATGATTCAAGGGGAAGTCTAGTGGACTGAATTTACAGCAATGAATGGCTTAGGTTGAATTCAAAAGACGTTACATTCAAAGCTATTACAATGTAGTGAAAATGCATTAAGCTACACAAAAAGATAAAAGAGCACAAGGTAGTAAGGAAAAAGATCCAGCCATCCAGAAAGCCAAAATTATACATTGCTGTAACTCGATCTTGTCTACGGAATTGAAATAATGCACGAGATACAAAATTTGAATGATAAGAACAAGTGATCTGCACTTGATTGATGGGGCGTCTCATAGCTTTCTGTCCAAAGCATATGCCTCACTTGGAAGTCTTCATTTTACAAAACGAACTTCCCTCAACACTGTTGCCGCCATCTCCTATGATAGTATAACATCCATTTTCTGCTTTGCAAATGTTTGCGCCTAATAAAGGTATGCAATAAAAATGCTGAACCAGCTCACTTATTCCTACAGACACCACAACAAATACGAAGCCTTTCTCGATCTCGCTTCACCAACACCAGCTCTTGCCCCTCTCCCACTCAATCCAAAAGGTATTCTCTTTTTCATTCCGTTATCCTATAAATACAGCTTTTGGGCCGCACCACTAATCCGGGACTACCCCAGAATCTTAGGTGAAACTTAAAAAAGCCGGAAGCCAAAGTGTGAAAAAGCCTCATGTTTTACCTGTCGTGGCTTCCAATGTATATATCAATTGGCATACGGCAAGGCATTCTCATTCAAGCATCTGGTCGGGTTGTGGTGAAGGATGAAAGAAGACCCGCGGCCTGCACAGGAAAAACATCACTGAATTTCAATGAGGCAGCAGCTGAACTGTCCTTGAATATGCCCACTTGACCATTAGTCAGGATGGATCCCAGTTTCAATGTGTTCTCTCCAAATCTGCTGCCAACCTGGCCAATTGTGAGAGGAAATAATATCAGAAGCATGTCATAGAACATGGAAAAAGACTTTCTTTCCAAAACACCTAGCCAAATATCTGACATCTCTGAAAATAAAATCTTCTCACAATTACAATGTTCGGCAAAAAGCCAATGTCTACTCCCGATGTACCAAAACAACATGAAGTACGTGGAACTATCTCGGTGCACAACTACGCAAACAAGCACAAAAAAGGAAGGCCAAAGTTAAGAACTTCTATCACCACTTTCAGACAGTTACACCACTGAATTTTCTAGCAGTGTCCCAGACTATTGGTACTTATTACATTCCATGTCACAAATGACTCGGTTAACTCAAACATTAATGCATGCAGTGAAACAGAAAACCCCCAATAAACACCCCGGCAATCAAAGATATAATCAAATTTAAGTTTCTCCAAATAATAAAATATGAAAGCTGAAAGATTAAGTCCAAATAGAGCTTAGAAAGTTAGACATATCATCTCCAACACAGATGTTCACGACACAGCTCTATAAAGCAGGTAGATGACTAGCCAGGGACATGATAAAATAATATATAACAAGGTAAAGAAATAGAAGCAAAAGAAAGAAAGCACACTCACCTGCATAAAAGACTTCAACAATGGAACTTGCTACTCCTGAAGACGATCTGTCGTCCAAATCAATCGTTCAAGAAATTTCTCCATTACTATAAGATTTCTGACTCTTCGATGAAAAACCTTCTATAGAAACACCAGTAGTTGCTTTAGAGTCTTCCTTGAAGACAATGCAGGTACACTGCAGACAGAATTCAATAATAAGAGAAATCTGGTCACGAAAGCTCAAATATTTTTCCTGCAGACACACACACATGGAAAGGCATATTTAACCTGATTGGAAGTATTTAAACCGGGGAACTGTGGAGCATCTCATAATATTTGATTCTGAATTCAAGGGCAGTTTCTGCACTGTATCCACATACAACCGATTAAGTTGTATGAAGAACCCGAGGAGGACAGCATGCCGTAAATATGACTGTCTTTCATTCTCCCACAGATATGGCTCTAACCTTTGATGAATGAACAAGAAAGCACTATTAGTTAACTGCAACAAAATGAAGAGTTATAATCACGAAACCACCTACTGGGACGTAAACATAACTCAGCTAGTACTAGATAGATGGTCCAATGGTGTCAATTAGCTATTTCTTGCTACATTTTAACATGGTAAGTAAACCTCCAAAATTGTAACTATTTTTGATGAATTCATATGAAGTCATCACCGATAATCCTAGGGACTTCTAATTTGTGTCCCACCTTCTTCCCTCATCTCTCATGTTCCTCCCTTTCCACCTTTTCCCAAAAAAGCATTAGTACGCAGTCATCTTTGGACAATATATCTACACTATAACTAAATGCACAAAATTGAGCATCATCATCTAAGCATCATTTACAAGTGAAAGAGCTGTTCACGTATCAGAATAATCTCACATGCAATAACTTCTACCCAGGTTTAACAAAAGGGCAACCACTTGACCATGAAAGAAAATTCTTTCTATTCCTACTATTGTCATTTATCCTCTAATCTAAACACGGATCATATAAAATCTTCCATCTCTTAGCTTAAAAGATATTCTTGGAAACAATTTTACATGAAAAACAGAATCAAGGTATAGAATTGTCGGATGCAAATATTAGTGAGGAGCGAGATTGGATTTTGTAAAAACATCTTGGAGTACTGTCTGCTTGTGGAATATATACTGCAAAAACAAATCCAGTAACTTACGTGAGCCAGTCCACGGGATCCAATCTCTGCAACAGACAATGTACCAATCCCTCTATACATGTTCTGATGGCAGACTTTTTCTGTCTTTGATCCTTTTGCCTAAACGAATACTTTGGCTTTGAACTTCTAGACAACTCCTCATCCATAGTGGAATCACCTCCAGAAAGAACATCATATATGAACTTTAAATCTAACATAACTTCCAAAGCTCCTTTATTTGATCACTTTAGATCCATTAGCTTCTTCAGTAGAAAGGTAGTTTCCATATATATCAGTCACCTGTAAAAGCAAAAACTGTCAGTAAATAAACACCAGATTAAAATAAGCTATAAAGATGAAGAAATCACAAAAACCACAGTAGGACTGTCCACAGAACTGAGTAAATGATAAAAGTCAAAAGACACAACTTGTAAGGTGTTATTCATTATGAGGAAAGTAAGAGGACTTTATGATATCGTAAGACCTAAACACTATAAATCAGAAAAGGCTCTTTACAGCTTCACAAGGCAATAGTAATCATGACTTTCACAAGGCTCTTTACAGTGACCTTGATCAACATTTGCATTTGATCACTGTAGCCGGCAAGGGTTGTCGGAGCTCGCCGGCCATTGGACTCTAATAAGATTTGTTAAGCTTATCCTGCTCAGATTGACCTATCGAGCAGTTCACTGTTAATTTGACATTGGCAAACATGAACCATAAACATGGATTGCCATCTCTATTAGCAGCTAAATGTTCATTGAGCAAGCTTGCTGTTTGCATTGCATCATGTAGCTTTTGAGCAATTCAGAATCTTTCCCAAGAGAGATTAGAGAAGAACACATTCTGATGATAAGGGATTGTTGCAGGAAGAATTCCCAGTTGAGAAGTTGTGAGGGTAATGTTAAAGAAATAACATAGAAAATTTACTTCAACATCATGCAGTAAAACCATACCGTCTTCAAGTCCCCAGACAACAACCTTGCCATCAGGACGCCAGCATAATGATGTTATACATTTACCTGGAGTAGGGTAGAATGATTAAGAAAAGCCAGAATTGACGACACACATTGAAATGTGCAAAGAAAGTGAGTTCATCATAAACAAAGAACAGAGAGAGAGAGAGAGAGAGAGAGAGGATGAATAATTTGTTCCCAAAAAAATTAAAAGAAGAGGAAAGATAGAGCACACACATTAACCGACAAAATGTTAATCAAAATTTGTGAAGTGAGGCAAAACATCACAACTGTGCAAAATAGCCGAGAGGGTTATTGCTCACTTGATATGGGATTTCTTTGGGCTAGTAGGTCGTCTAGAGTGAGGGAATCTATATCTTGGTGGCAGGCTCCGATTCAATATCTGAATCAAAAAAATAAAAAATATCGCTGTTCAACTATGGAACCTCGAGGTGGAGTGGATGCATGAAAGCTAACTTCAGGCGAGGATTACAAGTGTAACTTAAGATCTTATCAGACACCATTCAGGATTGGCTCAAGTACTATATTGCACTCAAGACATTCTCCATATCCAGAAGACACTATGACGAGCGAAGCATTCAGATGTTTCTGAAGAAAAAAATCTCCTCTATAAATTTTTCCAGTGAGAATAGACAGCAAGAGCTACCAAGGCTAGGCATCTAATCCTAAGCTCTTACGAATTTGAATTAGCAACAGATTAAGTCATATAGGAACTTAACATACCTGGATGCAACTTCCCTTACCCTCCTAGTCTCTTTGCTTTCTCCAATTCCTCCCTCTGTCCCTCCCGACCAGATTGTCATACAAGTATGCGGCATAGCTCGATTTATATCCTATTCAATAGTCAAACTCCCACCAGCGAACTTGATTAATCAATATGATGGACGAAATGCCCCTCTGTAATGAAAAGAAGATAAATTAAACTTCAAGTAATACAAAACGTGATTAACTTTCCGCCTATAATCTATATTTCAGTATCCACTAAATCTCTCCTTGTAGGGCATGCTCATTCATTAAAAGAATGCTCAATCAGTAAAAGAAGAGGAGCCAGCAGTAAAATTTCAATGTGAGAGTCACCATCAGAAATCTAAGAAGATCTTTTTAGATGCCTGATGAACATTTAGACGGTATTCTGCAGGGGCTCAACCTGCGAACTCCAAGTGGGCATCAAGCATTTCTGCATCTGACATAGCTAGTCTATCTAGCATAAATGGCATCCCCTCCTATTCATGTTAATTATGTCATGGACACTTTAACTGGTGTACGAAGAAGGGCAACAAGATGGCCATACAGGAGTATGGTACACTTACGGTCGGTGTAGATGACTGTTGGCTAGGTTATGGAAAATATCCTCTAAGGCAACAACCTGGTTGAGAAGTTGATGAGAATCTATCGCGCCTGTAAATAAAATTCCCTCCGTTCAACTAATACCAGCTTGGAATTCCTTACTTGCAACTAAGTCGTCTCTAGATCTCCACTCGCATCGCCATCATTCGCTCTTCGTTTCTGTGTGAAAAGACCAACTCCTCAGTTTGACGTTCACCTTCTCATTTAGACTTCCAAGCACTTTATACCTCTAAATTCGTCCAATTCTCCATCGAACGCAATTCGTGCTAGATCGGCAATCACAGTTGGTTCCTATGGCGAAATAGGAAGCGTAGTACATACAGGAAAAGCGAAAGAAGTAGAACGAGATAAGGCCAATGACTCACAGGGCACACACCAAGCCATCGTTGAACAAACGAACACACTGAACAAAGAAAAGAGAGAACTTTCTCGAGTCGAAGCAATGACCGGGAGAGATTGTCCACAGCCTCTTGCCAATTGAAGTGACGAAGCACCACCCACCTCCGAGTCCTCCGTGTGACCATGGCCAGCAAATCCTTCTCCGGATTCCAGTCACGCCATCTTCAATTAACGCCCATCGGAAGAAATCGAGCAACAGCCTCACCAAACCGAATCGGAAGACAATCGAATCGACCTTGAAGCTGAAACGGAAGCACGCGCCGGCGACCCTTCTTCGTCGGTCTCCCATTGCTAGAAAGCTCGGCACAGAAGCGTCCGGAGGAAATGGGCCGGGCCGGGCCGGACTTCATAACTATATTATAGCCTTGTCAAACAACGCCCAGACTCGTGGGACATCATATTGATGCGAATACGGTGGTGGATTTGTTGTTGAAATGTGAATTTGGAAAAAAAGCAATGTGATAATTGATCCTCAATTTACCATTTGAACAGAAAGAAATATGCTCCTGAATTATTCGAATCGGCGTTAGCATGACTATTTTTTTCGCCCAAATGGAAAACAATTAAAACATTGAAAAAAATAAACGACTTAAAGTCTTATCGCTAAGACCAAAAGCAACCAAAAAAAAATGTCTTGTTGCAAATAGGTGGAACTTATCGAACAATTGCAAATTCAAATCAACTTACCGGATTATCGCCACAGTTAACTTTACCGTGTTCATCGTAAAATCAATTCACGGGCCCGAAATGCTGCCATTGCCAACCGTTATTTTGCTGGATCGATCAACCGGGTAGGAACGGAAGCATTTTCCAGACACATTCACATCAGGCGACGGGAAGCCGCGGTGCACAGATTTCGAGCACTTCTACGGATCTAGTCGCTTTTCAGCTCCGGACGCTTCGTGCACGCCATCACAGATATGGCTCCTGACGGGAAGTCCTCTTGAGTTGTTGATTCGCAACAATGCATATTCAAGGATGACTTTATCCGATTAATGTCTACTTTCTGGACTTCATCGGCACACGTGATGTCTATATGTGTAGTCTATCGGTTGACGGAATTGGAAATGGACAATTCAATACTCTTGCATTAAAATGAATCGGAAGGGAACTCGATCATTCAAATTAACGTGTTTTCCACGTCTATTCACCCGCGCATGATCTATAATAACTAAATTATGTACTCGTGAAAATCGTTCCTTGAACCCTTAAGGACAACCCAAAGAGTTTTAACTCTGGGTGTCCATAAGTGTCGATGTCGAGGAAAAGCTTGACAGGCTTCAATGTACAAATTGCAAAATGGGTTTTGTCGAGGAATTAGTGTGCGGCACCTGTAAGTTTATCAAATAGAGGAAATACCACGAAAAATCTTCAACTATGTCCATTTTGATGCCAATGCCTTTTTTTCTTTTCTTTCTCTTTCTCTTTTTTTTCTTTCGCTTCTTCCTTTAGCTGGTCACCAGACCTTGGCGACCAGCCAGAGGTGAGGGACCTCATCGTTGACTGGGGTCTCGTGACCCAAGCGATGGCCACCTAAGGTCGTGAGACCTCGAGTAGCCCTCGCTTGGGTCGCACAACCATCGCTAGGGTTTGCATGACCCCAACTAGCCCTCACCAGGGGTAGCTCGAGGTCGTGTGACCTTAGTTGACAGCTGCTGGCGCCAGATCTGGCTCGACGGCAACCCAAGGGTTTGATTTCTTTTTAATCAAAAAAAAGAAAATTTGCAACCGAAGCCCTTTGCAACATTTTATTACCAAACACTACTTAACCCAAAATTGCTTTACAAAGATTTTTTACCAAACGCAATTTGCATTTCCCCAAAACCCTTTAGACCAAAGGCCTTTGTATTTCCAAAGGACTTTCAAAATGTTGAACCAAATGCACCCTGAGAGCTGACTAATAGACTTGTTTAAGGGTTATTAGGATTAGTTTAGTGGTTAATGGATATGGTTGAATTGTGGGTTGGACATGGCTGATTTGTGGAATAATTTGTGGGGATTTGGAGGCCAATTAGTGGCTGTCCTTGGCTGATAGGATTCCTATGATTATGGACTAATATCATGGAGTCGATGGTTGGAATGTGTATTGAAATGTGATGTGTTGGTGATTGTGTGCGTGGCCGATACATCGCGGCACATGGGAGTGAAATTTGGTACTAAGTGTGGTTGGTTTGTGTTGAGTAGAGGGGGCTGAGTTGATTTAATGTTATTGAAGCTTGAATATGACGTGGAAACTGATTGAATCATGTGGCGTATGTGATTGTCCAAAGGTCCTGAAGCGTGTTGACGCGGGACGAGCCCGGATTGATCGGAGGGCTGACCTGTAGGGTGTTGACCCGGGTCATGTGAAAGTTTGTTTTTGAAAGATCCTGTGGGGTGTTGACTCGGGACAGAGCCCGGATTGATCGGAGAGCTGACCTGTGGGGTGTTGACCCAGGTCGTGTGAAAGTTTATTTTTGAAAGGTCCTGTGGGGTGTTGACCCGGGACAGAGCCCGGATTGATCGGAGGGCTGACCTGTGGGGTGTTGACCCGGGTCGTGTGAAAGTTTGTTTTTGAAAGGTCCTGTGGGGTGTTGACCCGGGACAGAGCCCGGATTGATCGGAGGGCTGACCTGTGGGGTGTTGACCCGGGTCGTGAAAAAGTTGGATGGATGCGCATGTGTTTTGTGCATGGATGATTTGGGTGAATGTACGTATGTATGGTGTTCGAGTGATTGTGATGTACTTTTGGGATATTATTGCATTATCATGATTTGACTAATGTGCAGTGTGGGCATGTGATTGGATGACGAGGTAAGTCCATTTATGTGAATTAGATATATATGTTATCGGTTAGATTGCATGCTGAACTTGTCTGGGTACGCATTGGCCTACGTGGGGTATAGGGTGTCTGCTTATTGAGATGTAATCTCATTGCTGTAATGCAAACCATTTTCAAATCCGCGACCATGATTGATTAAGAGACGCCGCCAAGGTACCTCGGGGATCGAGGACGGGTCAAGTTACTCCGTCTTTTGTATGCCCCATTTTTGTAGAGGAGTTAAGCTTACCACTCACTGGCCCTTTTTGATGAAAGTGTTTCTGTTATTTGTGGCATAGCTTGTGGTTGTCTTTTGTGAATGCTGTAAGTAACTGTCAAACATATGTAATGAGTTTTATTGATTTATGCAAGTGTTATCCCTTTGTCATTGTTATTTTTCTGGGTTGTTTATTTCGCTTCTGCTTGTGTATACTGGTGGGTGTTTCATTTGGGTCGGCGACGTGTCCTGGAACGTCGCGTTCAATACGACCATCGAAGGGGTGTCGCGAGCTCGTTGGGTTTGGGGTGTGACAACCCCGTTGATTTGGTATCAGAGCAAGGTTAGCTCGATCCAAGTTGGTCGAAGCCCGGAGTGATAAGGAGCGATGACTTTGGGGTAGTTAGTTAGGGAGACTTGTATGCCATGCGTACCCCAGACTCTATGATTGTGATTGCTGAGTGATATTATGCACTAATACGTGAAATGCGGGTGCGATAGGACTTGAGGTTAGTGCACGATCCCTGTTCTTTGTGATTGAGTGAGGTTGTGATTGACTGCCTGCTTAGTGAATTGTTGTGATTCATTGCCTAGGGCCTTAGACTGGTATAGTTGGCCTAGGTCTTTAATTCCTGAGAGGAATTATAGCAGGTAAGTGAGTGGTGTGACCCTGTGAGTTTGAGCAGTCGAGGTCATGTAAGTCCGCAAGCTAGAGTTGTAGAGAGTCCCAGAGTGGATGGAATTCTGAGGGCACGCGAGGAAGTTGGAATTTTAATGGGAATGATGGGAATCAAGGTCAAGGGCAAGTTAATGCAGTCAGACAGATGCAATAACTGATTGAGCAATTTTTGAAATTGAAACCTCCGAAGGTTCGATGGGAAGAGGTAACCCTGAGGCTATATTACTTTGGATAGAGGACTTAGAAAAAAAAAGGGCTTTTGAGATATTCGGGTGCACTGATGAGGAGAAAGTGACCCTGGCTATATATCAACTCCAAGGAAATGCAAGTGATTGGTAAGAGGACCCCCAAAGTAGGATATTTCGAAGGGCATAATTCCAAGCTGGGGTGTCGTTGTCGAGGCCTTCAATGAGAAGTATGTTCAGAGAGTGCGCAAGGACAGAAAATGACATAGTTTCTTCGGCTTCGCTAAAATCAGATGTCAGTCGATCAGTACGAGGTCAAGTTTGTAAGGTTGCCTAAGTACGCATCAAGGATGGTCAAGGACCATGTGGATAGGACAAGGAGGTTCCGGGATGGATTGAAACCGGAACTCCGCAGTCAGTTAGTACTCTTGAGTCTTAAGAGATTACAATGAGTTGTATGAGAGGGCTCGATGGTTGAAATGGATATGAGTGACAGGGCTGCTGCTTCTAGATCGTGGTACGCGCCGGTTAGGGACAATAAGAACTTGGGAAGAAGTCTATGACAAAGAATATGAGACTTGTCCCTCCGGTAAGGAAGAACTTTGTAAAGCCGAACTACTACTCCAACGCCGCATGTCGGTCTTGTGGGAAGAGGCATAGGAATGGCCATTGCCAAGGTAGAAGTGGAGCATGTTGTGGATGTGGACAGCATGGTCACTAAGTGAGAAATTGTCCGAACCGATAAGCTAGACCGTTAATACAGCAACAACAACCGCAAATAGGATATTAAGCGGGAGTTGCCCCGCGGAATAACCAGATTAATCGCAGGCACAAAGAAAGATGTACGCAGTGGTTGGGAAGGAATCAGAGGATTTGTCTTGAAAGTCTGGATGCGTTATGTGATGATAGTGGGTGCAACAAGAGAAGATTTTGAAATTATAACTTGAATGGTCATGTAAGACTTATAATCACTGATGGTGAGTAGGCGCAATCAGTTGAGGATTTCTAAATTACTGATGACATTTTTGGACGGGTTCGGAAGGATGTGTGTTGCTTGGAAATTTCGGATTCTGTAAAGAACTGGGGTAATTTGTTTTGGGAGACTGTGGATTGAAATTGGATGGATTGAGTTTTGTCTTTGAGGTATAGGAAGATAATTATTTTGTGGTTGACTAGTTGGTTGAGGAACCAAGGCTAAAGGACATAGCCGAGGTGTGTAATCTTCCCGATGTCTTTCCTCAGGAATTGCTGAGATTGCCACCTGATAGTGAAGTGG